CATTCCATGTGTGCGTGTACCCTCCGGCTGCGCCGTCGGAGTGCGCTAAGCCACTGTGCCCATGCAACCGCAAAGTGGTGCGTGTTCCTTTGCTGCTGCGTGGTGGAATGGGCGTCGTTGGGGCGGGGCAGGTGAAGCAGGCGAGTGGGTCGTGCTGCCTGCGGAGCGCCAATGTCAGAGTGAATGTGTCAGCGTCAAGGCTGAGTTGTTGGGTGTGTACTCTGGCGTCGTGGGCACGAGCGAGGCCGAGTCGAATAGCGGGGGGAGGGGCCTTGGCGCGGGGGCGCACAAATGCCGGGGAGCACTGGGAATCTCCGTGTGGTTTGTGGCTCAGCGTTGCGCCCGTAATGGGAGGCGATGCCGTGTGGCCGCGGGTACGCCATTCCTCCGGGGGGCATTTCGTGTTGGTGGCCGCTACCCATTTCTCTGCAACTGCACTCGCTCCGTGCGTGCCCGAGCGTGTGGGCAGAGACAGAGAGAGACAGAGAGGGATGAGTGAGATGGCTTCTTGGGAGGCGTAGACGTATTCCATGGCTACGGGGTGCCTTGAAAGGCAGCTGCGTGCTCTTCCTTTCCTTCACCGATTTGATGTTGACTGGCGGCTTGGGAGTTCCTTCATTGCCTGGCCGAGTAATCCTTTCCCGATTATATTCTATGCGTTTTTTTTCCCCCCTTGCTTCTTGCCTCCATTGCTGCCAGGCGACGGGTGGCTTGTGTTGTGGCATCCCTGTGAGAGTCCACCCTCCGCGCACCGTGAAGGCGGTGGTGGGTGGGCGAGTTATGTGGCCGCCATCGACGGAAGTAATTCATGTCCACACGCTGCTCTGCGTATCGTGTTTCCCGTGCCAGTGAGGCGCGGGGAGACGTGTGGTCCGTCATTGCCGCTTGCCGCGGAGGAGAGAAACATCTTGCGCCACTGCACTCTTTCTCCCGCCTCCGTTGCCTGGTCTCTTTGGTCTCCGTAGGTTTTGCTGTTTGTTGTGTCTTGCCCGGCGCCCCGCCGTAGAACATGGAGGCCAACAGCACGCTGGTGGAGTGCAAGCGCGGGGAGGCGGGCGCTGTTGTCTTCCGTTTTCTTATCCTCGACGCCCCGTCGCCCAGCAGCGTTCCCACGTACGTGAGGTTGCTGCAGCGGCACCACGTGAGGCACATTGTGCGGGCCTGTGGCCCGACTTACAACGCGGAGGTTTTTGAAAAACACGGCATGGAGGTGTACGGCTGGAACTTCGACGACGGCGCCCCGCCACCGCAGGCCGTCATCGACAACTGGCTGGACCTGCTCGAGCGGGAGAAGGACAAGTCGCCCCCGGAGACGATTGCCGTGCACTGCGTGGCTGGGCTCGGCAGGGCGCCCATATTGGTGGCACTGGCACTTGTGGAGTACGGTGGAATGCCGGCGCTCGACGCCGTGGGTTACGTGCGGGCGCAGCGCAAAGGCGCCATTAATCAAGTGCAGCTTAACTGGCTGATGGGGTACAGACCGCGCAATCAGAGGGGGGACGAGGGGGCGCTGAGCTGCGCGAGATGCGCGGTGATTTGAATCCGAGGCGTGCGCTGGGAAGCCATGAGGTGGTCGGAATGCAAGTGATGGTAATTATAATAATATTTTTCAAGAAAAAAAAAGAAGCTCCTTTCTACTCTCACTTTGTGTGTGTGTGGGGCGTGCTGGCCTCCGCTCCCTGCTGCGGCTGTAGGCGCAGTGTGTTTGTTTCCGGACAAATATATATATATGTGCACAACTGGATCTGCGGTGGCGCGTGATGTTTACGCCGCTGGTGGCGGCGGCAGCAGGGAGGGGAGGCCAAGGGCCTGAATTCTTTTCTGCGCCGCGGCTGCCGCCACCCACGCTCCCTTTTATCTTTCACTCGGAAGTGGGGATGGCGGGCCAGTTAAAAAAAAAAAGGATGAAGAATAACATACAGCAACAACTTCCCTCTACCCCTTCCACGGCGGCTGCCGCCGAGTGAATCTTGCAGGGCGCCGTGGCCGCTGGTGTGCGTGGCGCCACTCCCACGTCTTCCTACGCGACAGTGAAGCCAAAGAAGACGGGAGGAGGAGGAATGTTCGTATTTTCATTTTTTATTTTTGTTTGTTTCCGTGTGTTTTCGTTGCTGTTTGTCTTGCAGTTGTTGTTGGTGTTGCTTTGTGTGCGCGGGGCCGGGGCACGTGCCCCGGCCCCAGTGGCGGTGTTGGGCCGCGTCGGAACAAAAGCAGGAGGAACGAAGCGAATATGCATTCGCCTCGTGCGAGTTCCCTTGCGCGTGTGTGAGGGCCCCTGCGAGGCGGCTGACGGGGTTGTTGCTGCTGGGGAAGCGGGGGAATCAAAACTAAAAAAAAAGAAGACGCACGACGACAGGCCGCATCTTGCGTTTTTTTTTCCTTTTCCTTTTTGCGTCTTCACACACGCACGCACACGCACGTCCCTCGCCTCCGCCGCAGTCTGCGGGGCGGGGGGTGCGGGCTGCTGTTGCCGGCACACGCCGAGAAGCGAGGGAAGGGACGCAATGCCGCGCGCATGCAGCGGCAGCGACGAGGACGAGACGTTTGCCGGGCCGTTCAGGCCGGACCTGGCGAAGGTGCAGGCGAAGCTGCGCAACCTGCCGACTCTGGAGCGGCTGCTGGCGGAGAAGGACCCGCACGTGTACGCCGAGGAGGAAATGGAGACTGCAAGGATCTTCATCGAGGCCATTGCGCAGGCGCGGCCGTCGTCGGCGCAAGAGATTGAGCAGCTGCTGCGGAAGCTGATGAAGAAACACCGCGTGGTGGCGAAGAAGTCACTGCTGCTCGCCGCCTATCGCAGGTGGCTGCAGGCGGAGGCGGGGCGCGGCGGCAGCGCGGCGCTGGAGCGCTACCTTGTCTCCAAAACCCCCCGAAGTCAGTCGGGCGTCCTCGTCGTCACCGTCTTCACCTCGCCGTACCCGGAGGGGCAGAGGTTCAGCTGCAAGTGGAACTGCTACTACTGCCCGAATGAGCCGGGGCAGCCACGCAGTTACTTGCTCAACGAGCCCGGGGTGCGGCGCGCCAACCGGCTCGCGTTTGACGCCTACACGCAGTTCCAGGACCGCGTGAACTCGCTTGTGGCGATTGGGCACCCCGCCGACAAGGTGGAGCTGCTTGTCCTCGGTGGGACGTGGGAAAGCTACCCGCTCACGTACCGCGAGTCGTTTATCCGCGACCTCTTCTACGCCGCGAACACGATGCATGACGGCAGCGAGGGCGGTGGTGACGCCAACGGTGATGCCACGGCACCGCAGCCGCGTCCCTCGCGGCCTCCACTGGACCTGATGCAGGAGCAGATGCTGAACGAAACCGCCAGATGCAAGATCATCGGCGTCACGCTGGAAACGCGGCCGGACACGGTGAACGAGGAAATGCTGCAACAGCTACGGCGATTCGGTTGCACGCGGGTTCAGCTTGGTGTGCAGCACACCGACGATGCCGTGTTGTTGGCGGTCAATCGACAGTCCACGCGGGAGGAGGCGGTGCGTGCTATCAAGCTCCTCAAAGACAGCTGCTTTAAGGTCGACATTCATCTCATGCCGGACCTACCAGGTTCAACGCCGGCGGGAGACAAGGCGATGTTTGACGACGTCCTCTACTCCGCCGATCTGCAGGCCGATCAGTGGAAGATTTACCCCTGCCAGACAACACCCTTCACAGTGATTGAGCAGTGGTTCAAGGAAGGGAAGTACCAGCCCTACGGCCTGGACAACCTCATCGAGGTCATACTGCACGCAAAGCGTCGCGTGCAGCCGTGGGTGCGGCTAAACCGCGTCATACGCGACATTCCCCATGACTACATTCTTGGTGGTGTGGAGGTGTCTAACCTGCGGCAACTGCTCGCGGCGCAGCTTCAGCGAGAGGGCTCGCGTTGCCAGTGCATTCGCTGTCGCGAGGTCAAGACGGACGCTGCGGCGGCAGAAAAACTCGAGGAAGCAACGCTGGTGGAGCGCCGCTACGCCGCCAGTGAGGGGGAGGAAGTGTTCGTGTCGTACGAGACCGTGGACGGCTTGACGCTCTTTGGGTTTCTGCGGCTGAGGCTGCACATTCAGAACTGGGTGACTCCGTTTGACGAGCTTCGGTCGTGTGCGCTGATCCGCGAGCTGCACGTGTATGGGCGCCTGGTGCCAACCCACAAGGAGGGTGACGCGGCGAAGGCCCAACACCGCGGCGTGGGGGCGTTGCTGCTGGAGCGGGCCGAGAGCATCGCCCGCGCGGCGGGGTACGGCAAGATCGCCGTCATCAGCGGCGTCGGGGTGCGCAACTACTACCGCCGCAAAGGGTACGCCATGGTGACGCGTCCGAGCTGCGGGGCCTTCCTTGTGAAGGAGCTGCAGGTAATAACTAACACAGAGGCCAAGGGGGAGGCGGCGGCGACACACGGGCGTGCAGAGGGCCAGCGCGGGGGTGGCGCGGTGCCGGCGGGGGCGGAATCTGCCCCCACATCGCATGCGGCAGAAGGGGCCGCGCGGGGCGGCGGTGGCTGGTGGCGATACATCAATGCCCTCTGGGGCCGCTGGAAGCGGCCACGGGAGGCGGAGTGACGCCGCGTATTGTGTGCGCGTGTGCGCGTGCGTTGTCTTTGGCTCAACGAGGGGGGAGTGCGCCGTCCTTCGTTTTCCCCGCAGCCCGCGTGTATACTCTTCTTTTCTTTTCTTGCATGCGCGGCGTACCACAACCCTCCAGGGTGATGTCTTTTTCGCCCTCTCTTTTTTCTATCCCTTGTTTATGTTTTCGGCTTTTCTGCGCTGCGGGTTTTGCGTCGGCGCCGCCGCGAGGAAGAGAAGCAATACAAGCTAAGCTTTCCACGCAAAGAAAAAACAAAAGGAAAAGAGAAGAGGCTAGTCGTCTGACGAACGTTGCACCCAAGCAAATCTCTGTTGTTGCCAATTCCCCTGGCTTTCGTTCCGTTTGCAGGCATTTTTTTTTTGCCGCGTATAAGTTTGTGTTGCGTAAGCCCAGCTACCACGGATCCCCACGCAACACTGTCGTCCTTCACCGAGAGCGCTTTTTTGTTTGCTCCA